TATGCCAACCTAAGACAGGCCAGGTGTCTCATTTAAAAGAAAAAAGGGGGAGATGTCCGGAGCCGCCTGGAGCATGCGCCGTGTTGCGCAACACACGTGCCATTAATTAGTTTTCGCTTTACCGTTTGCCTGCTGAGAAACCACAGGTGTTTCCTATTAATCAAATGAGATTGGGAGGTACGATGGGAGGAGCTACCAGGATATAAGAGGAGAACCACGAGAAGGTCAGGAGGTCATTGCGAGAGGTTATTGCGAGAGAGTTTATTGCGAGAGGAGCAGAGAGTAAGCCAGGGAAGAAAGAAAGTCAGGGAAAAGAAAGATATGTAAAAGTAGTAAAAGGAAAAATAAAGAAGTAAACGCTAGCGTCAAGTCGTCAAGCCCCTCATTTCAATCCTCAGCCCTTCTCTTCCCGTGCCTCTGAACCCCGCGGGTCGGTACAGGAACCAGACTACCTGAGTTTCCAGGTGTATCACTTCTGGACTGTGGGTTCTCCGGCAAGTTACATAAGGCCTCTGTGCCTTCCTTCATTTCCTCATCTATGTAGGAATTACAGGAGTTGAAATGGAAATGCTTTAGATCAGCACTTGACACATAATAAGCACAGTAAGCTATCTGTTGTGCTATTGCTATTTTTACTTAGCTCTTATTTATTGGATACTGGCTCTAGGCAGAATTAACACTGAATCTCCCTAATACCCTGTGATGGAGATAACTTATTATGTAAATATAAGCCAGGAAGTAGAGGGCAGAACCGGAGTGCAAATCGAGTCTGAAAGATACCAGGAGTCCAAGGCCATTTAGATGATATTTGAAACCAGGAGCATGGGGAGACGGCATGAAGCCAGCTGAGCCAGGGAGTCTGAACTTTCCTCCATGGGTGAGGATGAAGATGGAGAAGAGTAAAGATAAAGCATGATGCAAGAAATGTCAGAGAGAAAGTATGGACAAGTTATTTGCAACTGTAGTTCAGAATGGTAAGGCTTTCCTTTCAGTCTGCTCTTAAAAGCCTTGCTTTTCCACTGAGATGCTATAGTTTACACTTCTGTGCCTGAAAAACTATCAAAAGAAACACATGACTCCTACATTAGAGGTATCACATTATGTACGAGATTTAATACATGGTGAGCTTACTTAAACATTGAACCTTGTTGCTGCTGGCCTGTATTAGGTACTAAGAGTTTTCTCCTTCCCTGGGCAGTGGCCTCAGGGGTTCAATAAAACATATCTGCATCTGGGCCCCAACTTGGAGTTTCCCCCAGGGTCTGCTCGCCTGGATTCATAGTCTTTGCCTGGTGTTGCCTGGCATTTGTTCTGTGTCTTTTTAAGTCTGCTAGGGCTGACTTGACAAATTGTCACCAACTGGGTGGCTTCAACAATAGAAATTTCTTACTTCTTGAGTCTAGAAATCTGAGATAAAGGTGTGCAGGATGGGTGCCTTAGAAGGGTCTAAGGGAAGGATCGGTTCCAGGCCTTTCTTCTTAACCATCTTTTGTGTCTTCCATCTGTCCCCGTCAGTTTCCAGATTCCCACTTCTTAGAGGGACACAAGTCATGTTGCACTGAGGTTCACATTAATGGCGTCATTTTAATTTTATTACCTTTGTAAAAATCCTGTCTCCAAATGAGGTCACATTCTGAGGCAGAGGGAGGCAGGACTTCCATATAGGAATTTTGAGGGGACATTCTTCAGTCCATAAGAATATAAATACCCTAATGATGTTTCATTGTTAGAGACTTTGTGATAAATCCAGCATGGAAGAGCAGTACAAATAAAGAAACATGTTCTACTTCCATTTTGTGTTATCAACCAAAGAGATACATTTTCTTTTTATATCCTTCCAGTCTGATTCTTCTTTCTCCAATTCATAAGATATTTAATAAATAAGCTTTCCTCCTCTTGACAAGACATTAACATTCATACTCAGTTCTTAAGTCAAAATCCATATGTACCTGTTCATTGAGTCAACGCTGTCTCTTGTGGTCAATACCCTTTAGGGAACTGGGGCAACCATGACCAACTGCCCGGGGTATCAAGTACAGCCACTCTCCAGCTCTCCATGTGCAGTGAGGAGGAAGCAGGGTACAATTATGGCCCTGACCTTAAAATATTCATAATTTCCTTCTATGATTTTTAAATTTTTTTAAGGTTTATTTTTTTTGTTTATGCATACAACAGCTGGGGTGTAGGCCAGAGGTGTGAGGCGGGGGGAGTTGGGTGAGAGGATTCACCAGAGACAGAGGGGAGCAGAACAGGCAAATCTATTGATATACACTGCTGACGGGAGCAGCGGGCGAGACAGGAGAGGTCTGCTGTGCCATGTGGGTTAGCTCGCTGGCCAGGGATCAAATTCATGCCACAGTGGCTGGTGATAGCTTGATAGTGCTGATACTTAAGCCCTGCACCACCAGGGAGGCCCCTTATTCTATGATTATTAACCTTTATGGCATCAAAGGGGCTTTAGGAATCTGGTGAAAGTTGGAGTTTCTATTCTCAGAGATACTTATGTAAAGATTATAAGAAAAATTATGCACACAATTTATTTTATTACTTTGCGTCAAAATATTTTTATAAAAAATTACAACTTTTTAATCCTTTTTTCCATGCAAAATATTTCAGGCAATATTCTAAGGGGAAAAAATAGGAAGAAGAAAAGAAGCCCAAAGGTACAAATAATGTTTAGAAATAAACTTTGATTTTGCTAAACAAACAAATTTCAGGGCCTCCTTGGTGGCACAGGGGTTAAGTCTCAGAACTATCGTACCATCACTGCTGCAGCCTGAGTTCAATCCCCAGCCAGGGAGCTGATCCACATGGCACAGCAGACCTCTACTCTCTCCCCCGCTGCTCCCCTCAGCGGTGTGTTTCAGTCAATCTAGGTGTTCTGCTCCCCACTCTGTCTCTGGTGAATCCTTTCACACCCCCAACCCCCATCTCTGGCCTGTATCCTAGTTCTTCTATGCATAAATAAATTTTTTAAAACATGGGAGGTTCTTGACTTTCCTTCCTTCCTTCCCATCTCCCATCTTCACTCTTATTAATTCCAGTTAAATTGCACTTCATCTAGTATCTTAGTTTTGTAAATTTTTCCAAAGTAAACATTATTTGCATTGTATGTAGACAGTGTTTGTTTAAATGTACCTATTTAACCTGTATTTCCTCATTCTACCTTTTTATAAATCAAACTTCTGCCTGTGCTCACTTTCCTTCTTACTGAGGGTCAACTTTTAGGTTCCATGAATGAAAGCCTTCTGGAGGAGAACTCTGGTTTTAATCTGATAATTTCTAAATTTTTTTTTTTTTTTTTTTTTTGTGGGACCCTCGCCAGTGGCCGGGGATTGAACCCGTGCTGCAGAGGCTGCGGCAGCCTCGCAGCCCAGCGCTCAACTGCTGCACCACCAGGGGAGGCCCGATAATTTCTAAATTTTATCCCTTATAGAGAAAGATAGTTTTGATGTTTATAAAAGTAATGAGTGGTAGGTATTTCCCTTACCCTTTTGTAGCTCTTTTGTCCATTTTATATTGTTTTTTCTTGAAACTGCTGCTTTCTGTATGATTGCCTGCTGTTTTAGGTAATCTGTGTTTCCTTTCTGGCTCATTTAAGATGGTAAGTCTGGTATTGGAGTTCTGTAGTTTTGGTCTATGTCTCAGTTGGCATATTTTGCGCTTAGCTTACATATTATTTGACAGTTTCTTACATTTAACCATTTTATGAATCCATCTTTTAAACTTTTAATCATAGATATTTAATATTTTATATAAACATGAGAAGATTCTGTATCTTTTTACTCTTTCTGACCTCAGTCATAGCCATTGAAAAATTTATGTTCTTGACAATTATTGATTGAGTTCACATTTTTTTGACCTTAGTCTATATGAAGTCTAAGTGTCAAAATTTGGGTTGCTTTCACCAGAGAATTTTTTTTTTATTATCATAGCCTAACTGAGATAATTCACACATACAATTCTTCAATTTAATGTATACATTTCAATGACTTACTAAATATACTTTTAGTATATTACTAAAAGTCAGTATACAGTTATTATTCCAGTACCCCACACATTGTTGACTCACACATTGTAAACAGAGTCACCAGGATCCTCCAAGGTCTCTTGGCTTGCCACCCCTTCACCCCAGATTCAATGAGTTTCCTCTGGATCCTATGCCCACCTCCCCAGTTAGTATAATTTTGATTAGCCACCCTTAATTGGATCACTTGGGTGGTCAGGCTAATGCTGCCCTCTCCAGGATTGATGTGAAAAGTCACACTTTCTTGGCTAGTCCCCTTTCTTCTACTATTCTCTCTCTTGAAAGATTTTTTTTTAACAGCTTTCTTAATAAATGACAACACATGCTATGATTCATCTCAGGGCAATGCTGTTGAAGAACCTGACCTAATCCCATTATATTCCTCCAAATAGGTACAAACAAGCATAGATACAGGGGCTTGAACTTGCATGGAAGCAATACTGTAAAACAACATCTCAGTGTCCTGCAAAGTCTGAGCACACTCAGGCGGACGCGCAGGGGGCCAACTGATCGCCTACGTCATGAAAATCTAAATAGATGCAAACTGCGGCTTGGCAGCTGAAGCCAGAGAGAAGGATATTTTAACTGAGGTCGTGGGCCAGGTAAGATCAGAATCATAAACCCGACTTTCATCACTTGCAAGCAAGTAGAGAGCAGTGCTTGGTGCTACTCGGGGGAGCCCTAACCTGGCTTGCAGAGATCATTGTCAGGAGGTGATTCTTAAGCGAGCGTGCCGAGAAGAAACCCACTCACACCTCGAGCAGTGCAGGGCCCTTGAATAATTTAAGGAGAGACGTGAACAAGCCACAGAGGAAACCTGGAGGCACCAGAGCCTGTGGAGCGGGCAGCACTGGGTACAGCTGGTTTCAGGAGAGCGGGTTTCAGGGAGGTCGGTTATGGAGCAGCCTGGTGGGCAGAGCCCGTTAGAGCGCGAGCACAGAGCCCCGAAGCTGGCTGGCTCTCGCAGAGGCTTGGAGCAAATCTGGGGGTGCAAGGCTTCTTCCCGAAGGACAGGAAGGCACTTGAGGGGCCAGCCCTTTTAGGCATAGGCATGACTAAAATAATGGAGACTCTACAGTTTTGCCACTAGCAAGAATAGGGAAGGGGTGAACCATCTTGGTCCCTTCTGGTTGTTTCCCGAGTCATGGTTTAGTTGCTCCCAGAGTCACCGACCAACTCTAAAGAGACTTGAGACCAACTCTAAAGAGACTTGAGGGTTCCTGGCCTAACTTTAGCGGACCTACTAGGAACTGACCTCTAACCTTGATCCTGATTATTCTCTTGCCTCCCACCCCCACCACTTTTCAGAATTCTCACTAAAATTTTACAATTTTGTTATAAGTCCTTAAGATAGTCAGAAATATCTAACGTGTCCCCTGCATCTCTTTCGTTTTCTTTTTCCCTTCCTTGAAGTCATGTTCTGGTTACACTGAAAACATCTTCGGTCAGTTTCACCCTAGTTGTAATTGACCCTTTGTCAGTATCTGTAAATATTTCCAACTTAAACTTAGAATAACAAGTTGTATTTCAAAGTGTGTAACAATTTTAAGAGGATTGTAGCTAAATTAGGTCATTAATTCTACTGCTTTTCATCTCTGCCAGAGTCTCTCAGATTATTGAATACATCTTGTAAATGCTTTTTTGTTTTTAAGTCTATCTAATTCCTGCCTCCATTCCCAACCCACCTTCAACATCATTCTCTGTCTGGAACCACATGGCATTTATCTTGGACACTTAGATATTTGGTTCCCGTGGTGCTTCAGGTATATACCCTAGAATGTTATCTTTGTGCTTTATCTAGTCATCAATTTCTGCAATTGAAAGTAAATTTGGTAAGTTTGTAACCAGTTGCGTGGCCACCATGTGTGAATGCATGAATGCGTTTTCTCTGTTCTGGAAGGAGTGGAATTTGCTGGAGCATAAATCCTCAATGTCTGACTGTAGATTGAAGCTAATGAAGAGGAAGGGGAAGAGTGGAGAGCAGGGTGTGAATGGAGCCCTGTAGACTGTGGAAGAGGACTGTGGTTACCTTGGTGGTGGGTGTGGTGACGTATATCTGAGGAGGTAAGAATCTGTGCCTTTGAATCACATACACTATGTAGACCAGTGCCACCTCAAACATTAACTAATGACTTACATTTGAAAAATGAAAAGTGAGGTTTAAAGTAAACAAAAAGAAAAAGTAAAAAAAGAACACCATATACAAAATAAAGTGAAATCTTCCACACCACTAAAGTCTCATGACTTGACATAATATTTATAACATGGAAGAGACTTATAGATTTTATAGTTATGCTTTTATAAATTTATGCTCTTATAAATGTCCTTACTTGGGACTTAGAAACTAGGGAAGAAAATTGAAAAAAATGGCTGCATTCACCCCACTGCAGGCTCAGTATTGATTTCAGAAGATGAGACAAATGTTAGCTATCACAGAATTTGTATCATACAAAAGATAAAATAATTTTGTTGTTTCAAACACAGGAGTAGGTCCACCATCTTCCAAAATGAATAAAACTCTCTGTCCTTAAAGTTGAGAACTTGGTGAAGCTTCCAAACTCTGATGCAAAAATGTTGTCAACAGTATATTCTTTTTTTTCCCAGCTACAGATAATCAACTTACAAAAAGTTTCTAAAACCTGAAGAAAGAATAACATTTAAATATTACATGATCATTATCTCTCCTCTCTGCATCTATTTTACATCAAATACTGTATAAACCAAAGTGTCTAGGAAGAAATAAATGGCATTTACAGTCATTTTCTTTGCCATGGGAGTGCTAATGTTCAAGCACATCTTTTTCAGATGCTTTGTTGGATTCCACGGAATATTTCTTCTGTTTCCAGACTGTTTGATGCAGGATTTCACAGCATCTCCTTTTTCCCCCCAAAATCCTTTCCTCTGGATTTCCAATGCCCCAACTGAACTGTGTGATGAAAGGCATAATATAAAGATAGATATGAGCCTCTTCCCCTTAACAGGTAGTCCCCGGAAAAACGTCATAAAACAAGGTATTTTAATATTTTATTTCGATAAACTTGGCTACTATCCTTATATAGATTCACGTACAGGAGACAGTGTGAATGGAGGAATCCCCCAGTTGGGATGTCTGCAAAAACATTTGGACAAAGCTGCCCTTGACATTGCCTATTACATTGGACCAAACAATGTGGGCTTGGCTGTAATTGACTGGCAAGAATGGAGGCCCATCTGGGAAAGAAACTGGAGCCCTAAACATATTTACAGAGATATATCTATTGACTTGATTCGCCAACAAAATGTAACACTTCCTTTGAATAATGCCACCAACATTGCCAAGGGTGAGTTTGAAACAGCAGGAAAGACTTTCATGCTAGAGACTTTAAAATTGGGGAAATCACTACGGCCGAAATACTTATGGGGTTTTTATCGATTCCCTGAATGTTACAATACTCATTATAAAAAAGCTGGTTACAATGGAAGTTGCGTTTATTTAGAAATGAAAAGAAATGATCATCTCGGCTGGTTGTGGAATGAAAGCACCGCCCTTTACCCATCCATTTATTTAAATACTGATGTAAAGAATTCACGATATGCAGCGCTATTTGTCCGGAATCGCGTGCGGGAAGCCCTTCGGGTTTCTAAAGTGCGAAACCATACAGACCCACTTCCAGTGTTTGCATACCTCCGTCCAGTGTTTGCTGATAAGTCTGATAGATTTCTGTCTAAGGTAAGTAAATCAAGGTATGAGGGCAATGAAATAGTGTCCACCGTGGTGTTTAATCAAGTTTAACATCATTTTTGGAAGATGGAAAATTTTGCTTTGAATAGCCTTTAGGATTATGTACACGGGTAGGACGCATCATTACATAAGTACAAAATAAGAAGGTTTCATCTCTAATGCCTTTGCAATCATGGAATAAGATAGCACAGGCAATGATTCACTCAATTTCTTCTTTTTCTTTCCTGGGCCTGCTCACTTGTCAATCGAAGTATTTAAAATCATACAGGAACTCAGTGTGTTTGCTATAGTAGGACAGTGGTTATGTAAAACATGAATATTAATACTGGAGAAGTATTTAAAAATATTATTGTGGGCTCTGCAGCTTAGCTTAGGTGTTACTGTCCCATGTATCACACTTTCAAGTTATTGCACCTGTTAATTCTTTCTATTGCATCCACCAGGATGACCTTGTGGACACAATTGGGGAAAGCATGGCTCTAGGTGTCTCTGGAATGGTAATATGGGGAGGCTACAATTTAAGCCGAACTATGGTAAGTGGTATAGGTAGGCATTGAATCAAAACATTTCTTTTTAATGATTTGGGAAATTGTTGTGATGGTCAATAACGAAATAAGTACTATGCTCGGCACATGGATACTGACTGAATCAAATTTCATTTGTGTGCTATTGTGAGGCAGAAAACTGTAGCTGTTCCCAGTGAGGACACAAATCAGTGAGGTTAATTAAAATTCTCTAGACTAGACAGCCAATAAGTAGCCAAAAGGTGAATAGAATGTGGTTTTATGACTTGATTTTTGGTGATTTTTCTACCACACCTGTGTTCTCTTATTTTTGTGGGACCCTCGCCGGTGGCCGGGGAACGAACTGGTGTTGCAGAGGCTGAACGGGCAGACTTGCAGCCCAGCGCTCAGCCGCTGCGCCACCAGGGGAGGCCCTGTGTTTTCTTCTTAAAAGAACTACAATTAGTCAGCATGAATTCCTTTGCTCTTTCCTTCTCTTAACTGCTCTTCATTGAACAATTATTTATTCAATCAATCATTGAATGACAGTCAGTTGCAGGTGTCAGCAATTGATGACTGTGGACCAAATCTGGCCAGCTGCTTACTTTGTCGGGCATCTCAGTGAAGAATCATTGATACAGCTTTATGATACAGCTTTAAATGGGAAAATAATAAAAAAGAGAATAGCATTTCAGGATAAGTAAAAAATTATAGAAACTAATATATCCCTGTGTATCAGTAAAGCTTCATTGGATGATAGTGCTATCATTTGTTGAGGTTTCCAGGACTGCTTTGTCCTTCTTGATGGATGTGGAAAAGCTAGTGATGTGCCTGCCTTGCAAAAAGTGTGATGGACTCATGGCCCCGGGGAATTCTCCTAGGACAGAGAAGAGAGACTTTGTATTCAAAGAGCAGAGGAGATCTTTTGATCATTTTGTGCTTAAGACAGAAAAACCATAATTTTATTTCTGGTATAAAATGCAACCGCCGGGCCTCCCAGGTGGCGCAGCGGTTGAGCGTTGGGTTGCGAAGCTGCCCACAGCCTCTGCGGCGCCGGTTCGATCCCCGGCTGCTCCCCGGCCACCGGAGGAGGGTCCCACATGGCGCGCAGACCTCTCCTGCCGCCCGCTGCTCCCCTCAGCAGTGTACTTTGGTCCTTCTGCCTGCTCTGCTCCCCGCTCTGGCTCTGGTGAATTCTCTCACCCTCCTGTGCTTCTGACTGTACCCACAGTCTGTATAAATAAGTAAATAAATCTTAAAAAAAAAAAGGCATCAGGAAAAAAAAAAGAAATAACACAAAATAACATTCAAAGAAACTGATTAGTCTAATGGAACAAAGTTAGTCCCTTTCGTGTGTTAGAAAATCATTTAAAATTATTCTCCTACATATATTTCTAATTTTCACTAATTGTTCCCCCAAATCTATGAACCCTGTTTGAAGGGTTGATCCATTTTATGATGGAGCCACTTAATCATTTTCTTACTAAGTCCTTTTTTTAAAAAAAGGAACTTGGAACTCTGCTCTTACTTAGATGAAGAGTGAATCAGATATTCCCTAATGAGTAGGACGAATTGACATACTATTTGTCACACTTTTTCATTGTTCTTTAATCTTTACATTCTTCCGCTGTGACTCTCAGATCATCTTCAGCATTATTCATATAGGAGGGTTCCCTCAGCTTCAATGTGGCTATTTTCCACTTGATGACGCTGCCTCGGAATAGTCCCCGTGTGCTGTGTTCTGTATATTTTTGCTGCCTCTCCCAATTTGTGGTCATTTTTTTTTTTTTTTTAAATAGAGGCATGTTTTATTTATTTATTTGTTTGTTTGTTTGTTTTTGTTTATACATGCACTGGGTACAGTCAGAAGCGCGGGAGGGTGAGAGAATTCACCAGAGCCAGAGCGGGGAGCAGAGCAGGCAGAAGGACCCAAGTACACTGCTGAGGGGAGCAGCGGGTGGCAGGAGAGGTCTGCGCGCCATGTGGGACCCTCCTCTGGTGGCCGGGGAGCAGCCAGGGATCGAACCAGCGCCGCAGAGGCTGCGGGCAGCTTCGCAACCCAGCGCTCAACCGCTGCGCCACCGGGGAGGCCCTTGTGGTCATTTTGAATGTCAGTTCTATCATCACTTCCCCCTTCTTTCTATGGCATTCGTAATCAATAGAGCATGGATCACTTGTCATGTTGCCCCTAATTGATTGACAACTTGAGAGCTGTTAATTGCAAATTTACTTACAATGACTGAACTGACATAAAACAATTATTTTCAAATGTAAGCAAACCATTTCCTTCCATTCTGTTTTATCAGTTCCAGTGATGTGACGGAACCAGCTTCTACTGGTCCCAGCTCATGAAACCTGATTGCTAAATATCTAGGGATTTTGTGATCTTACAGTCATAATTAAAACTTAAATTATAAAAACTTAGAATAAAGTAAGTTAAGTGAAAAAAAAATAACTCAAAATATATAAGTGAGTTACTTCTTTGTGCTGTTATCCATACTCTATCCATTTTTCCTGTATTAGTGGATTATATGTGCTGTTCCACACTACACGCCAAACTGTAATAATGGGGAACTTGATCTCCAGTCTTCATCTAGTGATATCTGGCTGGTAGCCTGAAATTGACCATGGTTATACTATATACCTTGGATATTGACAAATTCCAGCCTTCATCTTTTAGAAATTCGGTTTTAGGTCTCTCAAGAGACTACGTCTTGAATAGGCTAATGACTCTCCAAACTGTTCCCATCCTGCCTTCCTCTTTTTGCCTAACTTTTGTCTGTGGACAAATGGAGGGTCATCTGTGCTTGGTATAAATTCTCATACAGACTCTGAACTGGGGGTAAGTGCAATATTGACAGAGTCCTTGCACACATGGAGTTTATGTGAGTTTTGGCAGTATAGAAACAATACACAAGCAAGAGAAATATTTGATGTTAAAAGTGCCTTGCAGGAAATAAAAGAGAGAGAGAGGAGAGGGAGTAGACAGGAAAGGTGTGTTGTGAGCCAGGCATTGTCTAATGAAAGCTGTGATCTAATGACAAGGTGGAGTCAACCATGTTCGAAATTAGAGGAAAGGGCATTTCAAGCAAAGGGAGCAGTAAGCGCAGCAGTTTGAAATGAAGCTGCCAGCTCATGAAACAACTGGTATGTCCAGTGGCTGAGGAGGATTAACTAAAAGGAAGGAAGGATTAATCAGATTAGGCTGTATGCAAAAAAGAGAAGTTGAGTTTTGTTCTAAACACAATGAAAGGCTATTACAAGGTTAAGAAGAAGTTTTCTTGCCATCATTTGTTGTTGCTAGTTTTTTTAATATGTGCCATTCTCACTGCTGTAAGATGGTATCTCATGGTAGTTTTGATTTGCATTTCCCTGATTACAAGTGACAAATGTTTTTTCATATGCCTGTTGGCCATTTGCATTTCCTCTTTGGAGAAGTTTCTTTTCAGCTCTTCTGCCCATTTTTTGACTGAATTATTTACTTTGTTTTTGTTGAGTCTCTTCAGCTCTTTGTAGATTTTTGTGATCAGTCATTTATCATTAGTGTTGTGTGCAAAAATTTTCTCCCAGTCAGTGGGATGTCTCTTTGCTTTGGTTACTGTCTCTTTTGGTGTACAAAAGCTCTTTAATTTGATGTTGGTGAGGATGTGGGAAAAAAAGGAACTCTCCTGCACTGCTGGTGGGAGTGCAAACTGGTCCAACCACTTTGGAAAGCTGTGTGGAGATTCTTCAACTTGTTAAAGATGGAGCTTCCATATGATCCAGCAATTAATTCCACTCTTAGGTATTTACCCAAAAGACACAAAAACATTAATTCAAAAGAGCACCTGCACCCCTGTGTTTATAGCAGCACTATTTACAATAGCTAATCTATGGAAACAACCCAAATGCCCAAAAATAGATGACTAGATCAAAAAGATGTGGTGCATATACACAATGGAATATTACTCAGCAATCAAAAAAGATAAACTCATGCAATTGGCAACAACATGGATGGAGCTGGAAGGGATCATGCTCAGCAAAATAAGCCAGAAAGAAAAAGAAAAATACCAGATGGTCTCACTCATAGCAGGAATTTAGAAAACCCAAATAAGAGACCAGGAAAAAGACTAATTATAATAAAGTAAAATTTAAAATCAATAAGCAACTATAAACTAGAGACACACTACAGGGGTCAGGAAGAAGAGTGAGTAGGATCAAAACAAGGGGGATGGGAATTGTATGGGGACTATAACCAAGATGAAAATGCATACATTGTGCAAAAATGAAAAATGATGTAAAAATATATAAGATAAAAATGCTCAAAAATAATAAAAAGAAGAGGTTTTCTATCAGTGCTATAAAAATTACAAGACTGGTTTTAAACAGTAGAAATTTATTATATGTACTTTTCCAGGTCAGAAGTCTAACATGGGTCTCACTAATCTAAAGCAAATCAAGGCATTTTCAGGATTGCAATACTTTCTTGGGAGGATCCTGATTTGTTTCTTTGGGTTGTTGGCAGAATTCATTTCCTTTTGATAGTAGCTATGAGATCTCTATTTTCTGGTTGGCTCTTGGTCTAAGGGCCACTACATTCTTTGCCTCATGACTTTCTCTATTTTAAAAGGCAACAATGCTGGGTTGATTTTCTCTTACCTTGGATTTATCCTCTACCTTGTATCTCATTTTACCAAACCCAACTGGAATCAGTTCTATGTTTATGAGAACTAGCCTGAAAGGATCCTGCTAATTCAGCTCCATCTCTCCCCATCTCAGTGTTCACACCCTTCATCATATCTGTAAAGTCCTTTTGCCATGTAAGATAACAGAGTTTCAGGTTCCAGGGAATAGGGTTTGGGCAGCCTTGGAAGGCCATTATTCTATGGATGGGAAGGTAGCAGGAAATAGATTCAAGTGGAAGCTGCCAAGATTCCTCCACTTGCCTATTGACATACCACCACCTGCTTGCTCTTCTGAAGACTAGAACCACCTCCTCAGCACTGTCATCATGAAAGAAAGTGACTATCTTCTGGGTATAGAAAAGGATAGTGTCCCAGTTTTAGGACACCCTAGTATCAAGAGGGGTCATTTTCAATACTCAGATTCTGCAAATAAATGCATTTATAAAATAACTGCTTAATTCACCCATAACATGAACTATAGGTCACATTTACTATAAAGTGTATTCAGTTGAACCTCTGTTATTTTGAACTAGTAATTTTTTTAAATAATAAATTTTATTTTTATATTCCCCATACAATTGCAACCCCCTCATTCTGACCCCAATCCCTCCCCTCCCACCACCCACCCCCCCAAAAGTGTCTCTGGTTCATGGTTTTTTGTTGGACACAGAAACATCAATTCCAAAGAACACCTGTACCTCTATGTTTATAGCAGCACTATTTACAATAGCTAAGCTTTGGAAACAGCCCAAATGCCCAAAAATAGATGACTGGATCAAGAAGATGTGGTACATATACACCATGGAATATTACTCAGCATTCAAAAAAGATAAACACATGCAATTTGCAGCAACATGGATGGTGCTGGAAGGGATCATGCTCAGCGAAATAAGCCAGAAAGAAAAAGAAAAATACCGGATGGTCTCACTCATAGCAGGAATCTAGAAAACTTAAATAAGGGACCAGGAAAATGAATAACTATAAGAAAGTGAAAATCAAAATCAACAAAAAACCATGAACTAGTAATTTAGAAGCCATATCTTTCCAATGTTATTTAAATGTGCATGGAAAATGTGATATTTATTATATTTATAATTTCTTGAGGAGAAATAATACACTGGGTCCTAAGCTACTACTTTTTTGTGCCATTAATCTTTTACCACAGTCCTATGATGCCCATGCTGAAATCATCCTACAGATGATGAAGCAAATGCATAGGCTCATTAGCCTCTCCAAGATCATTAGATAGGAAACTAAAACTTGGTGAGTTTGGAAGTTTCCTAAATTGACTCAGCTAGTCTAGTGGAAGTGAGATTCCCAGAGTAGCGGGCTCCAGAGCTAATGCTCTAACTGCTGTACCTCATCCTCATCTGTGCCTCCGTCATCCTGGTTTGTTTGTGAATTATTGAGGAAGACAAAGGCTAGTTTATATAAGTCTCAGTGAATTAATCAGTGCATGAAACAGCATATGAAACTTTCAAATGTTAATACATACATGTGGAATAGTCTTGCTTGTGAAGGTAAAAGTGATAAAATAGTTCCTCTTTCCCTGGGCTTATTTCTTCGATTTCCTTAGAAATTTTTTATTGCTAGGATTTAATTTATATAGAAACTAACTTATCCATTGTTATTTTGATCTTATAATTACAGGAAGTTTGCCAAAGCTTTGACACTTTTATGCAAGATTTACTGAATCCTTACATAATCAACGTCACCCTAGCTGCCAAAATGTGTAGCCAAGTACTATGCAAAGAGAAAGGAGTGTGTGTACGGAGAGACTGGAATTCCAGTGACTATCTTCACCTGAACCCAAAGAGTTTTGTTATTCAACCTGTGAAAGGTGGAAAATACACTGTACATGGGAAGCCCACACTTGAAGACCTGCAGCAATTTTCTAAAAAATTTCATTGCAGCTGTTATTCCAATATCAATTGTGTGACTACAGTGGATGTGAATACTACAAATTATACTTATGTATGTGTTGGTAATGATGTTTGTATAAATGCCTTGATAAACCCAAAACTCAGTGGTCCATCAGATTGGAATAAGAGACGTTCTATTGCTTATGGTAATGTCTCATTTTCTTCTCCACTTGCCAGAGCATCCCCTTGTGTTTCTGGAAAAGACCTCAATGAGAACCCCAAAACCAAATGCTTAGTGGAAGCTCTCTCCAACAACCTTCAAGAAGATAGTCAGAGTCATTTATATATTCAAGACAATAAAAACGAAATAACTTCTTCCAGCACAAGTTCAGTGCTTATTAAATTTCCTATCTATATACTTCATGGTTTTTTTGCTTTTACATTTTTATACTTAGCAATTTAAGTAGATGATTTGCTTTCATGCACAAGATAATACTTAGAGTTTTGTATTTGAAGTGTTTATAAAAATACGTGGTTAAGATAATTTGACATTTGAGCAAAGATTATTTTCTAATATCAAATTAAACTTGAAATTATTATTGATTATTATTGATGGATAAACAAAGGAGACTGATCTCCACCTTTAATTTTCAAAATCACAGAACTCTTTAGCTACTAAAACCATTAGTACAATATTATGACTGAATCTGCATTTGATTTGAATCTTGATTACTAATGGAGCAAAGAATTTGTTTTGTATGATGTTTAATTTATATTTTCTGAATGCTTTGACTCTGTAGCAAAGATTTTGAATACTGTGAATGTATATATAAAATGCAGAGGTAACAATCTTAAGAAAAACTGATTGTAAGGCCTGTAAGACCTAGGTTTTACCTGTGAAAAGTGAAGGTTTGGTTAATACCAATTTACTGAACATGAATGTCTTTGTAAATACTTCATAATTCATATAAAAATATTAAGAAAATATTAATGTGAAAACTATCTTTTGTAATGCAGTATGCAGTTCAGTCTTCAGCAAAGAACTATGGGTTTTAGCTACTTCGACTTAATCATTTCTCCCCATTGTATTGTATAAAACTGTAACTTTTTTTTTAAAGATTTATTTATTTATACAAGAACTGGGATACAGGCCAGATGTGCAGGAGTATGAGAGGATTCACCAGAGACAGAGCAGGGAACAGAGCAGGCAGACGGACCGAAGACACTGCTGAGGGTAGCAGTGGGTGAGACAGGAGAGGTCTGCTGCACCATGTGGGATTCTCCCTGGCCAGGCTCGAACCCGCACTGTAGAGGCTGCGGACAGCTTCACAGCACTGCACTCAACCCGCTGCATCATCTAAAACCGTAACCTTTAAAAAAAGTTTATCCTGTCAACTTTGCTTTTGATTTAATATCTTCAAAGTTCATATAGAAAGTATTCCAATTTTCTTTCCATTCTTGATTCAAGTGACAATCTTGTGCACCCAAAATACCTTATTTCATCTAAATATACATCCACATCCTTCAGAGAGCATTTATTGAATGTTTATTCTCTGCCAGTTTCAGTAGGAAGCGTCACAGTTTCAAGAGGAGGGCGCATGCTTTTTGTCATCAGTGAGTTTGGTGTAGGTATGAAGAAGACAGACATTAAAATTGGAAAATTACAAGGGTGCGTGATAAATGTTATGATAGAAACTCAGCTTGCTATGAAACACAAGAATTTGAGGGTCAGAGAAGAATTCCAAGAGTGTCATAAACTACCATGGGTCCCATTGGCTGGCAGGTTGAATAGCAGTTGGGTAGTGTGGAAACTCAAGACAGAGGAACTTGAGAAGGGTGGAACATTGAGTGTGGTGTTTAGTGCAGTGAACAGTAAATACAGGCCACATAATAACCTTTGGACTTTCTAATGCAACACTCCCACACCCCTTGGTTTACCCAATTTTTTTTTGTTTTTTTTTATTTTTATTTTTAATGCTATTTTCTTTTTACATCATTGATCATTTTTAAACAATATTTTCTTTCCCCACCCTCTTAGGTTTAGTCCCCATAGAATTTCCTTCCCCAATGCACCCGTGCACCATCACCACAACCCCTATTCTCCTCCCTCTCTCCCTCTGATCCCTCTCCCTCCTCGTCCCCTGCAGTATACCTCTGATTTATAATTGTATCTGTTTTTGCTTTGTGTGTTTTGTACTGTTATTATTTTTTTACATTAATGTCTTACTTGGTTCCCTTATATTCCTGTTATGAGTGAAACCATCCAATATTTTTCTTTTTCCTTCTGTCTTATTTCACTGAGTATAATTCCTTTGAGCTCCATCCACATTGCTGCAAATGACATGAGTTTATCTTTTTTTTGATTGCTGAATAATATTCCATTGTGTATATATATGTACCACATCTTCTTGATCCAGTCATCTGTTTTTGGGCATTTGGGTTGTTTCCAGGTTTTACCTATTGTAAATAGTGCTGCAATAAACAAAGTACAGGTGTTCTTTTGAATCAATGTTTTTGTGGGAAAAAATCTTTGTGCTCCATTCAACTGATAAGGGATCACAAAGATATACAAAGAATTCACATGGTTCAACAAAAACAAAATAAACAATCCAGTCAAGAAATGGGCAGAAGAACTTAAAAGACATTTCTCCAAACAGGAAATGCAAATGGTTAACAAGCATATGAAAAAATGTTCCACATCCCTTATCATCAGGAAAATGCAAATCAAAACCACACTGAGATACCACCTTACACCAGTAAGAATGGCACATATCCAAAAAACAAGCAACAACAAATGTTGGCGAGGATGTGGTGAAAAAGGAACTCTCCTACATTGCTGGTGGGAGTGCAAACTGGTCCAACTACTACGGAGAGCTGTCTGGAGGTTCCTCAGTTTACTAAATATGGAGCTACCATATGACCCAGCAATTCCACAATTAGGGATCTACCCTAAGGACACAAAAACATTGGTTTGCCCTATTTTTGGTCCATGCATACATAGCACAGCATGTTACCTTTGTCTAGTTTTACTCTCCTCTGCCTCCCTGTAATGGAAGTATCATGAAGACACATTTGGTCTTTTAACTTGATGCTATAACCACAGTGTGATGAACAGTATCTGGTACTGTTAAAAGTTAGCTAATAAATACTTTTTGGCAAATGAGAACCAAAGGGGACAAGACATGAAGGAATTTTAAGCATGGGAGTTGTGGTGACCACTTTTCACAATTCATGTCCTCTTGGGTCAATGCTACCCTTTGCCTTAGATCTGTCCTTCATCTCAACTCTACTTAAGATTCTACTGCCAAAGAAGTGTTTTCTTAAGTAAGCCACAAAAAAAATACATAATTGGATAAAAATCTGGAAAAGACACTGTACAGAGAGTAGTTTACTTTGAACACCTTAATGACCATCGGGTGTTTGAGGACTTAGAGAGAATGGAGACAGTAAGGTGAATTTAAAAGGGCATGGAGTTTCGAGTTGGATATTTTTAAGGGCAAAGCACAGTTTGTAGCATTTACTTGCACTATGAGTGTGATAGTTAACCTGGATCAACTTCCATTCTGATAAAATGGCAGCAACGCATCCCTTGTCAGGTTCTTGAGAAAATGGATTAATATGACACATGAAAGGCTCTTGGTCTTAAAAATAGCTCAATAAATATCTTTGGGAGAAAGAGGAAAAATATCCTTTTTTTATTGGGTACGGGAAGGTGACTGGATGGATTGTCAGAGCAGTAGTTTTCAGCCATGCCACACTGGTCATGAACCCAGTAAGAAAAGAAACCACAGCAGAAAAGAGATTGCACAAAAAATTTTTATGTAATATGTGCATATACTTCTACATGATTAGGTTTGCTGAAGTCAAGTTGAATTTTTTTAGATCAAGTATTTTTGCCAGGGAAACCTGTTGCTTTGACAACACCACACTGATAAACAGGAGTCATGGAGCTGGCTGCACTTTGCAGTATGCGGCTGAATGAGCAAGATCCTGCCCTTTTAATTGATAGAATGAACATACAGCATCAGTTACATGGGGTAGGAGGAAAAGATGGGTGAAACTGAAAATATGCTTTTGTCCTCTAGGGCTTTAGGGGGACATGAGTCTGCTGATCAGATAGTTCTTACCTGCTTGATGACCAAGCGTTGTAATTGAAACCATAGCCAGACCCTCTGCCATGGTTCCAATCTTATCAACAAGGCATTCCACTGATCAGCTTCTGGGGTCCCTTGTCATACATCGGTCATCAGCACCCCCCCCCAGGACATTCCTGGTCATACCTCGTGATGCATAGCCTTCCCAGGGTGATCAAGCTTTCTGCTCTTGGTTGATTTGAAAGGCACCTTGTAAGGTTTGGCCCCTGTGACTGACTGACTGGGCAGTTCTGACCTTGTGTAGGAATGCACAACTGCAGGTAACAAAAAAATGGTGGCCAAACAGGCTCCTTAAGTCTAGCAGACCCACAGTAGCCTTACTCTTAAGGAGCTTGTGTCCAGATGGCGATGATAGATAAGTAAATAGAAGTTGTGCATAGACTGTGGCACATGAATAAAGAACAACAATTTAAGAACTATGTGTAACATAGGTTCATCAAATAAATTAAGAGTACTAAGGGAACAGAGAAATTAAAAAATTCCCAAAGTCCAGTGTGAAGACAAAGATTGATGTGAGCCCAGTGGTGGGAGAGACCCATTTGTGACCTTAGGAAAAGGACTCACCAGGACCAAATGAGGTAACGTCGGAGCTGCAACTTGAAGACTTGAGTAGAAGTTCACTAGGTTGAGAAGCAGAGAAAAGACATTCTAGGCAGAAACTAGAAAGGACATGGCATGAGCAGGGAAATATAATAGTGTGGATGGTCCTAAGAAGACGAAAGTTAGGATGGAAGTATTCAGCGCTTAAGAAAGAGGAAACCATGTGGCCTTGAATTTTAACTTTGATGTTTACCTTTGTGGCCTTGAAAAGTCTTTTTGTTTCAGTTTTCTCATCTTTAAAATGGGGTGGTGGGCCTTCCTGGTGGTACATGCAGTTGAGTGCAGAGCTAGGAAGCTCTCTGCAGCCTCGGCAGCGCCGGTTCTATCCCGGCAGACCAGAGAGATACCCATACGGCGGGGCAGACCTCTCCTGTCTCGACTGCTGCTCCCCTCAGCAGTGTATTTCAGTCAGTCTGCCTGTTTTGTTCTCCATTCTGTCTCTGGTGAATCCTCTCACCCTCCCGCACATCTTACCTGTACCCTGGTTCTTGTAAGCATGAATAAATAAATGTAAGAAATAATGGGGTGGCAACCAGGATCTTGTGTTTGTTAAGCAGGGTTTCTTTAATCCTTCCTTGCTTCAAAAAATACATGAATGCCCTACAAAGCATGGATGCAACTATCCTTGTAAAGATCAGTATCAATAATGCAAAATTCCTGTTCCTGAGCTTTTGGGCAAATGATAAAGGCTTTCTGGGAAGGGGACTTCTAACTTATGGTGGAAGACTGGTCCAAGGCCATTTTTACTGGCTATAGGTGGCATCCCTGGAACTAGAGGGGGCACACAGCACTTCTTTAAATTGAAGTTTCTTGTGCTCACGATGAAACTGAATTCTGTCTAGACAACAGATGTGTTTATGTCTACAAAGCAAAGGACAACACAGTAACTCCTGGTGGCAAACTGAATAAAACTAGAGTAATCTTGGGAAAGGTAACAAGGGCCTGTGGAGAGAGAGTAGTTACGGTTGTGCCCAATCAACCTTCCTGGTAAGGCCATAGAACACAGAATCTGCATGAAACTATACCCCACATGATTTATAAATATTGAAAAGCCAAAAAATAAAATTGGATTTGGCTTCTTGTAAAAAAAAAACCAACAACAGATAAATAATAACAGGGAGGTATGCTTGTCTCTACTTCCTTCCTATCTCCCATCTTCACTCTTATTTCTTAATTCCAGTTCACTTGCATTTCATCCAGTATGTTATTTTTTTTTAATTTTCCAAATGAAACATTTTTATTTGTA